AGCATTATGATTCTAAAGCTTCTAAAAAATTGCTTGGTGAGTTAGTGGTGTTATCCACGTGAATTTTCAAGTGTTTAAGTCCAATGTTCTTTAAATGAACCAAACGGGATCATTAAGACATAATGATAGGGACGATTCATGTATGTTAATTTACCATGACTAATTATCCAACCTCTATTACGTAAATGATGCAGGTCTACATAATTAGAGCAAGTTCCTACTACGAAAATGAGCACTGTTGACGCAAGCTTTGTGTATTTGTGAAAAAGTTGTTCTTATCTTTATCTGCATTTGTTCTCAATAATTAGTGTTAAAAAATCAAGTTCCTTTTTTTCTGCTATGTAACCATTCCTTCTATGATGCATCGTGCCCCAACCTTAATTATTCTTCTCTCCATTTAAATTTGCAAGATGCTCTTGAACAATTTGCAGTTTCTTATCCAGTAGATTTGAAGAGGAACTTCTGGCTTACCATCTTTTTATTATCCCTAGATGATCCTTCTTTTGCTGTTGCGCACAATAGTTAACCTGTAATGAGTTAAACATCATATTAAAGGTTAAAAAGTCAATTTCTATAAAGAATGAACTATACTCTGCCTATTAATGAATCATTCCTTTCAATCTTTTTACACTTCTCTGTAGTCGTGTTAACTTGTTCAATATCCCATAATCATACAGCACCTTATCTTTATCCATAAAAATAAACAATATAAAAATCCAGACATATCTAAAGAATAACTGAAACTGAGGTGATAGTGGATATCTCCATATACTGCTCCTGTTGATGCCACTGCTCTAATTATCACTATTTCCTATGTTTTGGTTCTCCTATCACATTGAAAATTACAAAGAATTTCTTAGTAGAACTGTTAGCACTTGGTTTCTTAATCACTACCAGTAAGTATTGTTGGGTGATTAAGAGCATCATGGCATTTGTGCAGTCTGAACTAATAAAAGATTGTTTACCAGTGGATCATCAGGTCAAACAAAGGATCCATGGAGTGCAACATGATCTTTGAAGAAGTCATTCTCCGACCCCCTAAAAAGGCGCAACAGCAGCTGGCATCATTCTCTAGCAGTCACATTTTACCGGAGCCTGATAAAATGCCATGTTGATGCAATGTGTCTTACCTTAATAGATGGCACAGTAAAGTGCAAGACTTGGGTTAAGATCAAACTTCCTGAAATTACAGATTCTTCATCATTTGCTTGGAGACTGTTAACTCCACCTGTTTGGTTGCTAATTACTCCCTCAGTCCCATAATATAAGAACGTTTTTGACACTACATTAATGTCAAAATCGTTCTTATATTATGGGACGGAGGGAGTATTAGTTTGTTAGTATGTTTAATTGCTGAGCGAGAAATTGGTCTCCTATTTCTTGATCTGCTAAATTGGCTAGGATTCCAAGCTTTCCATTCGTCCAGAATGCGTGCCTGCCTCTGTGTGGTCCTCTCCGAAGCAGTTTCCGTAGAATCTGTCTGCACACATTGCTTGTAATTGGTTAGCCGATGCTAGTTTCTCGAATTTGAATTATTTGTGTGCGAAGGTTCGGCTGGATCATGCAGAGGGCAAGAAGGTGTGGTAACGCCTCCAAACTGGGAAGGAAAATCTGGGAACGACATACCTTGTCATACACGATTTAGATACGAGCATGCAAGTGATGCACACGATTTATGATGCATCAGACCGCTTGCAATCCACAACTTTGTGCAGCCAACCCAAACCTATGTTGAGAAAACGAAAATCTTGTCTCTCCTTCAAGGCAAAGTAATGGAGGACATTCCAACCTGGAAAGGCAACAGCTCAAAGTTGAGATCGAAGTGGTCGCCGGAAAAATTATTTATCCAGTTTCAGTATTCAGGCTCCGGAACAGCAGCCTCCCTCAGGACAGGAGGAACGGCAGAGAATGTTTACAAGCCCACATGATCGTCTTCCTAGAGTCAGACATGTTCAACAAAGATGACTCTCCAGTGCCTACAGGATTACTTTTCCTCTACAAAGAAATATAAAAGCGTTTAGATCACTACTTACTAAGTAGTGATCTGAACTCAAGGTGGCAACGGGGACGGGGATGATCGGGGATGACTCCACAATCCCCGCCCCGATCCCCGCCAATCCCCATACCCGCGATCGATCCCCCGTCCTCGTGAAGCTTCATGGGGACAAAACGTCCCCCATCCCCGTTAATATCGGCTACCCGGTATCCGTCGGATATCCATGGGGATTTCAAAGCTGACTGGGATAGGTGAGATTGGAGAAGGCATGGTTGTTGGGAGAGGTGGAGAAAAATAATTGTGTGAAATATCTAGGTATTAATCTATATATTCTGCATTTGTACTAGTACAAATAGCATATTTTTCGGGTATTCATGGAGTCCCCACGGGGGAATATTATATCCATCCCCGCCCCGCCAGACTAACGGGTACCCACCGAACAATACCAATGAGGCTAATTTGTCCCTCATCCCCGCTCCATGACGGGTAAATCCCTACAGGTACCCGTCCTCGCGGGAAATATTGTCATCTTGAATCTAAACGCTCTTATATTCTTTAACAAAAAAGGACTTTATATGTCCTCACGGGGAATATTGTCATCTTGAATCTAAACGCTCTTATATTCTTTAACAAAAAAGGACTTTATATACCAACAAGATGCATACACATGGTAACAACCATGTACTCCCTCGGTAAACTTGTACTCCCTCCGCCCCAAAATTCTTGTCTTAGATTTGTCTAGATACGAATGTACCTAATACTAAAACGTGACAAATCTAAGACAAGAATTTTAGGACGGAGGAAGTATAAGACGTTTTAGATCACTCTAATGTACAACTGAAAAGTGAAAACATGTAGCAATACGAGCAGGAAGACGTTCGACGTTACACAAGACCACTACAGTTTACAGAGGTGCCCACCTCTTGTACTCCCTCCGTTTCAAATTACTCGTCGTGGTTTTAGTTCAAATTTAAATTAAAACCACGACGAGTAATTTGGAACGGAGGGAGTAGTATGTAAAACGCGGTGACAAGTGTGCATATGCTGCTTGCTTCTCCATCCAATTATATGAGCAGGAAGACCACAAATACAGAACGGTGACATAGTTATTAATCGGAAAGCTTGGCAAACAACGTGCTGAGAGACACAACAATCTGATGTTACACAAGACCACTACAGCCACAGTTCGGAAAAAAGAGACTAGTAGAGTCACTGCACGAGGGACGGGGAAGGAAGGAGTTCCTAAAATATACACGACTCGATTGGTCAGCTTATCTAATTCGACATGGCATGGCCGCATGGCAGATGTGCTTTGCTTAGCCTTGCTCCTTGTACGGTGTCCAGATCAGCTTGCTCACGTCGACGTCAAGGCCCCCCCGCCCCGCGGCCTTGAGGTGGCGGTCGAGGACCTTTGGGTCTGCACAGATGACATGCTGCCCTTTCCGGTACTGGATCAGGTCCAGGCTCTGCAGCGTGCTCAAGATGTCGTCCGCTTTGATTGCCGTCATGTCGCTCAGCTCCTGCGTGCAAGTGTGACAGCTTGTTAGCAAAAGTTATGCCTGCACCCAGGAACAGTATGGCAGAAAATGACGGTAGCAGTAGATATGGATTCGAAGACATAAGGATGCAGCTATAGAAATACTACTGTTTTAACAGGTTGCAATGATAGGAAGAGCAACGTCCAGATTTTTATTCTAGTGT